AAAAAAAAAAAAAAAAAAACCCAGAATTTATTTATAAAAAATTGTGTATTTATTCTTATGTTTAAACTTCAGCCACCTTTAAAGCACTCTCCGTTTGATGCAATACACCTATTGAGACACTTTTCCACTGCTAAAAACAGGCTTAAACTTGTCAGTTTCGATGTCTTTTAGTGCTTCCGCCATTTTTTGTTTCATCTCTCTCACATCAGCAAATCCCTTTGAGGATTTTTTTCATCCGGGGAAACAAAGAAAGTCACTCAGGGCAAGATCAGGTGAATAGGGAGAGTAGGGCACAAGGGTCATGTTTTTGGTAAAAAACTGCTGAAAACACAGCATGATGTGGGCAGGAGCATCATACTGTGTCATCATTTCATGGTGGAAGTACCAGTCACCTGTTTGCCACAACTCAGGACATTTCTTTTGCAAATCATGATGCTAGCTTCTCAAAACTTCCAGATAAAAATTTTGGTCGACCGTGAGATCCAGAGGAGCACATTCAGAGTGTACTAGGAGGGGCCCACCCTCCAAAAGGTAATCCAGGGTTTTTTGGGTCCCCCTCCTATGGAAACGTCTGAATGAGTTTTCCCCAAATTTGGAGGAAAGACTTGGGATGAGGTGACTACACAACATGTATAAAACTCTTCCAGGAGGCCAGATGCTAACACTTTGGGAGGCTGAGGTAGGAGGATTCTGGAGCCCAGGAATTCGAGGCTGCAGTGAGCGGTGACTGTGTCACTGCACTCCAGCCTGGGCCACAGAGTGACACCCTCTCTCTAAAAATAAATGAATAAATAAATTCTTCCAGGGATCCTGAGAGTCTTGCAAGAGGCAAGAAGTCACTGTGGGTGGAGGCAGCAGGCACTGTCTGTCTGTGCCAGGCTCTGTGCGGAGAGCTCCAGGGGGCATGGTACTGTGTCTGTGCAGCTTCTATGGACTTCGTAATAGTTTACTCTCTCACGCACAGCGGGGAGGCACCTGGCTGTCCATCACAGGGCTCCGGGAGCCAGCCGGGCAGTCCTACCTTCCTCGCAGCTCACCCCCGAGTGTCCAGGGCAGCACCTCCACTCTCGGGCAGTCACTGTCTTGTACATCACCTTGTATGTGGGTCTCACCACGGTTCTGTAGCTGAAAGAGTCCCCAGGTGGCCCAGCTTAGACGGGGTCTTCCACCGCCTCTCCCACTGCCCTGGACACCCACGGGGACAAACCCAGAGCCTCCAGGATCCTCTGCCACCTCCAAGTCCCTTTGGAATCTCTCTCCTCTTGCTTTCTGGGATTCAGCCCTCCCACCACCTCTCCCCCCAGGCTCCAGCTTGGACCAGTTGGACAGGAAGCCCTGTAAGCTCAGCCGGCCTGAGCCCAGCAGTGAATGCTCACAGAGTAAAGAAATGCAGGTGAATGGTGCATACTTCCCTAGGAAGCTCTCCAGGATGCCCCCAAAGCACAAGGGGACAGGCAAAGAATGGAAATAGGGCCAATGCTGCCTCTGCTCCACCTACCCCGAGGGTCTAGCCTTCCTCTGCACCCTCCATTCAACCTCTCCACCAGGCCTCTGCCCACACGGTGCCTCCACCTGGAATGCCATCAGCTCCCTTGACCACAGGCTCACTCACCTGCTCCCCGGGCAGCTCATAGGCCAGGGGCAGTTCTGCAGCACTCGCTGAAGGTAGGTGCCATTTTGCACATGGCAGGAGACAGTGCGGGTCACCACGTATGAGCACCAGTTCCTGAAATGGACCCAAAGAGAGGAAGCTTAGGTGGTGTGCAGGGGGGCCCCTAGCAGGAGCTCTGGGAGGTCTGTGTGCTCTCCAGGATCCCCGAGGCCCCAGGCAGAAAGACCCCTGAGCCTGCAGAGTCCTTCAGGCCCCAGCGGGAGTCTCTGTGGCTGAAGGGTGAATTTCATGGCGTCAGGAGGGGCTGGCCCTGCTGGGGGTTCTTGGGAGGTCTTGCAGAATGAGCTGCAGGGCAAGATGGGGGCAGGGCATCTTGACCTGGGCTCTCCCTCCTCAACAGCTCTTTTTTCTAACTCTGACCCAGCCAGGTCAGCATTGCTTCCTGCCTCCCACTTGGAAACCACAGCAGCATCTTCATCTGCCCCTCGGTCCCCCTCTCTCTATTTTTGTAGAGACAAAATCTTGCTACGTTGCCCAGGCTGGTCTTGAACTCCTGGGCTCAAGTGACCCTCTTACCTCGGCCTCCCAAAGTGCTGGGATTACAGGCGTGAGCCACCATGTCTGGCTACTCTTGGTCCTTCTCTGGAGAGAGTGCCACAGAATAGAACCCTGGCCATGCCTCTCAGGAACTTCTGTGCCCACACCTGTCAGGGAGCCACCACCCCAGACCTCTGCTCATGTGGGGACAGTTGCCTGGAGTACCCCTCCTCCACCTCTCCCTGTGACACCTCCAGCCTTCAAAACCCACTGGGCTTTGGTCGCTTCCCTCTGTCCTTACTCATTTCCACCCCCATCTTAGCAGACCTGATGGCTCCCTGCCCTGAGTCCCAAGGCACTTTGCATCTAGTTCACGCTGAATTAAGCTGGTGATTTGTGCCTGCCCTCTCCGAGCACACATGAGAGGACAGGCCCTGTCTCATCCTTGCATCCCCTGTGTGATGGCTGTGATGCACAATCAGTGCCCCGAGCATGGAGAACTGACTTCTCCAAATGTCAATTAATAATCATGGTGAGCCAAGGAAGGCACCACACCCCCACATTTTACAGAGGGAAAACTGAGGCTCAGGGAGGTGAAGACAACTGCCCATATCACAGAGCCAGTGCATGAAGGAGCAATATTTGAACTCAGGAATGTGGACGGCCCAGCCCAGCTTCTGACTCCATCCCAGAGGCCTCAACTCTCATCTCCTCCCTGTCTCCTTAAGCCACAGTCCATGGCCCTGTGAAGGCCCCAGCCTGGGAACTTGCTGACCCTGGGCTTGAGGCCAGGAAGAAAAGTCCGGTGGGTTGCGGGGCCCAGGCTGAGAGGGGTCACCTGAAACCATCCCTCCTTCCGCAGCTCCTGCAAAAAACACAGGGCCTGTGACCCCATGCAAAGCTGAGGGCCAGTGAGCACCTGGAATGTCCCGGCCATCACAGAAACACCTAAGCCCATCACTATCCAGCTCCCACTAGCTGCTGCCCCACCTCCGCTCCAGCCCACCAGATGGAGAAAATCCTTGGTCAGGACCAGTCAACTAACTCGATTTAGGGCCCCAGGGACACCTTTCTGTGTCATACTAGAATCAGTCCAGGAGGAGAAACAGTCTGGGCAGAGACCTGGAGGTGGAAAGGCTTGGAGAAGGGACAGTTCAATTCGGTCCATGAGGTGGCAGGAGCTCAAGAGAGCCCTTGGCCAGCCATCCCATGCAGAGGTGACAGGAGCTTGCTGCAGCACTGTCAGGAATGGCACAAAACTGGGAATAGTGAAAATGGCTATGGAACCACCAGGCAAAAAAAAAAAAAAAACAGATGCTCTGACAAAGCCCAAGGTCTCCACGTGCTGATCCAAGAACCAGCTATCATACCTGGTTATGGGGGAAAACAGACATTGACCAGTAGATACAGAATGACGGTGTGTCTAGTAAAATAAGGGGCAGGTGGTAATGGTGGCTCATGTCTGTAATCTCAGCATGAGCCTTAGGAATCTTAGGAAGGTCAAGGTGGGAGGATTGCTTGAGGCCAGGAATTCAAGACCATGAAATCCCAGCTATACAAAAAAATCTTAAAAAATATTAGCCAGGCAAGGTGGTGCGCACCTATAGTCATAGCTAATCAAGAGACTGAGGCAGGAGGATCACTTGACCCTAGGAGTCGCCGAGGCTGGAGTGCAGTGACACAATCACGGCTTATCACAGCCTCAACCTCCTGAGCTCAGGTGATCCTCCCACCTCAGCCTCCTAAGTAGCTGGGACTATAGGCACACACCCACGCTCAGCTACTTTTTAAAATTTTTTTGTAGAGACAAAGTCTTGCTATGTTGCCCAGGCTGGTCTTGAACTCCGAGGCTCAAGCAATCCCCCTGCCTTGGTCTCCCAAAGTGCTGGGATTACAGGCGTGAGTCACAGCACCTGATCTATTTTATAAGTTTAAAAATATACATTTTGAATCCACTGAAGTTGGGGTTTTGAATCCACCAAAGTTGGGGTTTTGTATGGAACATGGGGATGTAAGCCCCTTTGGGAAATGTATGTGAATTGTGACTGCTCCCCAGAAAAAAGCATAAAACTTGGTGTGCAAGTTAAAGGGGTTCAAAGGCTCCCTGAAGCCTATATGACATTCCCCCAGACTGGCCAGGGGCTCAGTGAGGGAAGGAGGTAGCGAGCAACCACCTGTGCCGGATGCTCCAGATGCCAGCAGGGGCTTCTGAGCACAGAATGAATCCTCTGTGCCAGTATGTAGATGCACACAAACATGTACACACATGCAAATGCATGCTCACACAGTGTGTACATGTGCAAATGCATACACAGACACAGACGGGTCAACATGCACTCAAACCTGCGTGTCAGTGAACACGGACACACTCACATATGTATATGTGCATAGAATGCATGGACACACATGTGCCCATGTGCACACGCAGATATCCACATAAGCACACAGACGTATACACACACATTCATGCACACCCTCTCACATGGACACATGTGCACACACATACACACTTCTCACATATTCACAGACAGGCAGAGGCAGGACCAGCAGGGTCCTGCTGACAATCTCACACACGTCTACACAGGCACACACTGGGCCGTGTGCCCTTACACACACATGCACACACATCCCATACCCAGCCCCTGGACTGGACTGGGGGAGGTGGGCCTGTATTGTCCATAACTGCCTGAGCCGTCTTTCTTTTTGCCAGAGGGAAACTAGAGAAAACAATCTCTTTCTTCTTCCTTAATTAAATCTCCCCCATGTTGGCCCTGTCTGGCTCCCTGGTTTATCTCCCACCATCTGAATTGTGCTTGAATCCCCTGCTTAGGAGACTTGGAGTCAGACATTTCAGACAGGAGGGGACCCTCGGGCCAGCCCCTCACCTTCCCAACCTGGGGGTCACCAGTAACCACCCCTCTGCCCCGCCTTGAAGATTCCAGCCTTGGCGCCCCCATTATAAACCTCAGCTCCTCCATAGGTTCCCAGCTTGGCCCAGTCACCCTCTTGTCCCTCTATCCATTTTCCAGGGGCAGCAGGAGGCTGTTTCTAAAGCACAGACCTAATGCTGCCACTGTCCACCATGGGATCTGCAGCCCGCCGTGGCTCCCCATCACCCTGCAAGTCCTGCCTGCCCTGACCGTTATCCTTCCTGCTGCTCTGCTCTCCTGCACACTCATGCAGCCTCTGCTCCCACTTCTGATCTTAGCATATGACGGTCCCTCCCCCTTGTGCCAGCAAACTCCTATTTCCCTTTGGGTCTCAGCCCCAGGCCCAGGCAGGGTTGTACATCTCCCAGGGCACCCATCAGCCATTCAGAGTAGCCCTGAGGTCCACTCTCTCCTGTACATGCTGGGGGAGGGCATGGGCTGGGACCAAGTCAGTATAGGGATCAGTCCTAAGGCACTCAGGGATATTTGTTGAATGACTCAGTGGCTAGCGGCCCTGGATATAGGAGCCAGGGCCCAAACTTCCCAGAGATGGGCCCAGCCCCTGGAGGATCCGCCTCAGTGCTTGCTGACCCAGGGGGCTTCCTTCCCAGGGTGTGGTCAGCGATAAGCTGCCCACGAGCCAGAGGAGGCTGGGCAGCGAGGCAGGGTGAAGGCAGGGACTGGGAGGAGGCAGCACTTTCCTGCTGGGTCCACCACTTCTGCCCACTCAGCACCTCCAGGGGCCCCAGAGGCCGCCAGGAGGGGAGAAACAGGCCTGACCAGCTCAGCCTGGCACTGGCCACCCCCAATAGGGCCTCCCATCTACACCCACACTCCACCCCTGCCACGAGGGGCCTAGGGGACTTTGTCACCACAGGGCCTGGGGCTGCGATCCGAAACAGTGATAGGGGCTAATTGCTGGAGGCAGCCAAGCGGGCCTGGGGCCAAGGGCCATTATGAAAAGGAGAGGAAAGAAAGGAGCCGGTGCGTGGGGGTGGGGTGATGAGAGCCAGAACCCCAGACTGGCTCTGTTGCTTCCTAAATCGGTGACCTTGGACAAGGCCCTGAACCCCTCTGGACCTCACTTTGTCTATCTGCAAATGAGGCCAGCAGAATATCCTCCACTGGGGAGGTTTCACGAAAAGCACTCAGCACAGCACCCAGCTATTGTTCATTCTGGTTTCCGGACCATGGGGCCACAGCCTAGACAGGGGCCCCACACCTGGCAGCTGTGATCCAGGGGGTTCCCTGGGGCTTGGGGACACCAGCACAGAACCGTCTTCCAGGGTCCTCCCCCCAACTTCGGGATAGGAGATGTCAGGCTCTGTATTTTCCAGATGGAAAACTGAAGCTCCAAGAGAAAGTACCTGCCCAGGTTACCCATGTGGGCACAGAACGGGATCTGAGTCCCCCGGAGAGAGGCTTGGGAAGATACCATCTGCTCTAGAGCTTCCCACTGTCCCTGATCCTAGGATTTGCCCACAGGAAGCTGGTGCGACAGGGGTGGCTTGAACCCTAGTGTTGCAGCACTGAGATGAGCGATTAGAGGAAGTAGGCTGGAGGGACCGGGGTGAGGCAGGAAGCAGCCCCAGCAGGGAATGGAAGTTGACAGGGCAGAGAAGAGCCAAGGCTCTGCACAGCCCCCGGACACCCTGGAATCAGGGGTGCTCAAGTCTCAGTCCCTCCGTGGGGCTGGGGGAGGCCCCCTGGATGCCTTCCTGGGCCGCCCCCTCCCCAGAACAAAGCTTCTTTTCTGTCTCTGGTCCCTTGGCTGCCAAGGGGTGCCTGGGGCACCAGGCTGGGTGTGGAGGGAGGGTGGATGGGGCACAACATGCCTGTGCTGTCTCCAATGACACTGGGACGAGGCCACTAGCAGAGGTCCTGGCAGCCAAGGACCACAGAGTCCTCCAGCTCCAGGTCCCTACCACCACCTAACACTGGTTACAGCAGGAACTACTGGTCTTTCCCACAGGGGATGGTCCCCAGTCAGAACAGGCTCACCAGCAGGGGATGAGGAAGGGAAAGAGGGAAACAGGAAAGAGCAAAACTGAGACCCATGGCCAGGAAATGGCCTGCCTGAGGTCACACATGGAGTGGGTGACAGAGCCAGGATTAAAACCATGTTCTGGCTGGGAACAGTGGCTCAGTCTGTAATCTCAGCACTTCGGGGCACGGAGGTGAGAGGACTGCTTGAGTCCAGGGGTTCAAGACCAGCCTGGGCAACTTGGTGAGAACTCTTGTCTACAATAAATAAAAAACTAGCTGGGTGTGGCAGCGCACACCTGTAGTTCCAACTACGTGGAAGGCTGAGGCAGAGGGATCGCTTGAGCCCAGTAGGTTGAGGCTGCAGTGGCTGTGAGTATGCCACTGTACTCCAGCCTGGGCGACACAGTGAGACTCCTACTCCAAAAAAAAAATATGCTGCATCTGTCTGAGGCTGAAGCCCCTAACTCCTAATCATGAACTACAAACTTTTCCCAGTCCCCCATAAGCCAATAACCTCTCTCCCTCCCCCAGGAGGGCTGCTGGGAGAAAAAGACGCTGGGTATGGAAACTGGCCTGGGTGGAGGTGCCGCATTTCCTCTCTAGGCCTCAGTCTCCCCCTCTGTAAAACACGGGCAATAGCATTGCCCATGGGGCTTTCGTGATGCTCAGGCTACTATGACAGCCTTCTGTGAACAGAGGAGGTGACAGTCCCAATGATCAGATACCCGTCCAGCACCATCATCCCGCTGCCATCCAGGCAACCCTGGGGAGTGAGGATCCCAGGTTAGGACGTCCTGCCCGGATGGGAGTCTGGGCCTTCAGCTCTCTGGACCGTCATCCTGGGCCCAACACTGAGAATTCCGAGTTCATACCTCTGTCATCTTAGCATCTGGGATCCTGGGGGCTCACATCTATGCTCTGGGCAGGTCCTGAGCCCTCTCTGAGCCTCAGCTTCCTCCTCTATGAAATGAGGGCCATGAAAAGAATGACTCCAGCAACAGCTGGGAAGATACTGGAAGCCACAAATGCAGGTAAAATGCCTGTCCCCGACCATGGTGGTCAGCACACAGTAGGCGGTGGCTGTGACATCTGCCACTCATCTGTCCCTGTCTCAGACAACTGCTCCTCTGGCCGTTGACACCTTAGCCACCTCCATCCTCCAGCCCTGTCCATGTCACCTGCTCTTGCTAGCTCGGCAGGAGTACGCTGGCCCCTGACCACTGAGAAAAGGGAATTTCTGAAAAGAATTAAAGAATTGAGGCCGTAGGGGGTGGGGGCCAGCCAGGCCTTTGAATAGGATGAAAAGGCCCGGAGAGGCCTGGCTAGTTCACATTGTCTGCCCTGGACAACAGCGGCTGGCCCTTGAGAGGAGACCCTGGCAGGAGCAGGGGCTGCAGCCTGGACAGGGGCCAGGGCAGGCTCAAACACTGTCATCAAGGGCCAGAAAGGCAGATTTGAGTCCCAGCTCTTCAATTAATAGCCCCTGAGCCTCTAAGTCCCCAGGGCCTCAGTTTGCTCATCTGTTGAACAGGGACAGTTTTCCCTATTTCATTCAGTACTGAAGGATTAGTGATGGCACTGGATACAGCGCGGGGCTCAGGGAGGAACTCCTTAAGGCCAGCGGAGAGAAGGTTCCGGCCACTAGGAGAGCCGCAGGAAGAGAATGCTCCCTCTTGTCTCTGTCCCAAATGCCAGGTCCCCAGAGAGGCTCCGACATGGACCCTGGGCTCCACCCTAGTCCTTCCTCTGAGGGAAATAAATAGCCTGGATACTTTAAAAAACTAGAAGCGGGAAAAGGGGAGGGGGACCCCAGGGTCGGCTGTCGTGGGCCTTTCCATGTGCTGAGGAGGGACCCTGGGGCCCGGGCGACGGAAGGGCCACGGCTCCCCCTGCCCCTCCTCTCGAGGCTGAAAAGGGGGGCGGCGGGGCGGCTGCGGCTCGACACATGCGGCGGGGTCCCCGCACTCGCAGGCGCCTCG